GAAGATGACCCCTAAACAAGATATCAGCTGACAACTGATATCGCTGCAGTAACACAAATTAATAAATTCGGTATTTTCAAATAATAAAATTTAAAAATCCATTGAAATAATAAAAAAAAAACAACAACATAAAACAGAGTATGTAAGTATAAATAAATTAAATAAGCGGACAATTATTTAGTCATACAATATTCAAAATGAAGGATTTTTATTGGTTAGTCTTGTCATACGTCTTTGTTTCACTGTTACTGTATCCAACTTTTGAATCCATTACGGGGATATTTACTATAAGTAATATTTTATTTTTCTAATTTGTAAAGATGTGTTGGTTTGGTTTGGTCAGTTAATTGTAACGACATAACAATTCTCGTTATTTATTATCGAATATAATCCTCACAAGACAAAACTCACAAGGAATTAATAGATAAGCAGACATAGGTCGGGTTTACACAAGAGTCCAGTTCAGTAAACATATCCCCGGTTTAAACTGGAGTCCCCAAAGAAGACATGAAGAGTGAATCTATAGATATCCACACGGAAGGTGGTGTCTTGGTGTGGATCTTACCTCACTGTAGAGGATAAAGTCGGTTTATGCTAAGCGCTGCCCAGAAGGTAAATAATATGTCGTGCCATGAAAACAGTGTATAGTACAAGAAAAAAACAAAACAAAAAAAACCAAAACCCCCAAAAAACCTGTAATGGGAATTGTCTTATTTTGAGGCTTTGGTATCATAGTATGTCAGTTATTACAAAGAAACAAAACAAAAAAAAAATCCCTCATGGCGTTCCGAATTCAAGGAAAGATGACGCATCCATCTGATGGTCAGAGTTAAACGGATTCTAAGACCAAATGAAAATATGTAAATATTGCTTTATGTATGTAAGTGTATCTTAATTCAAGTTAGTTTATGTTGGCTTCACATGATAATGCATAAACGTAAGTGTGTATGTATGTGTGGGTGTTTGTGTGTCTGTGTTTGTATGTTTATGTCTAGGAGACATTATGTTTGGCGGTTTTTGCATTTTGATTTGGGAACGTTTTTACGTACATACCTTTTTTAGATACTTCAAGAATGGATTCAATAAAGGTTGGTGATGTAATATAATGTTTTCGACGTGTGTTTATAGTAGCAATATATTTATTAGTATTCTATCGGAGTACTTTCTGTGTAAAAAATTATGTCCTTTTTTAATTAGGGTGTCATTTGTAAAATCAACATTATGGCCAGTTTTGTTCCTGGGTGTTACAAACGAATTTAAATGGTTGTCTAAACGTAAATTACTTTTATGCTTGCAGATACAAGCGTTTATATTTCGAGATGTCTCAACAATATAAGTGCTTTTACATAGTAGGATATTTATTTGATAAGCACCGACATTTGAATTGGTGTTGGATCATTGTATTCTCAGCACGTTTTTCCACAACCAGATATCTGCTCCCCGTCCATGAGGAAATTGCCCAACATTAATTACTATACAGAGGGATTGGATATCAATCATCCTGTATAGTATTTTAGGCTACATCTCTTGTAAAAAAAAAATTCTATTTTCTTGGTTAGTCCTTTCTTCATGCTTTTCTTTGCTACCTTGTCAAGGGGTTCCTGCAATTTTCAAATTTAATATGATTAAAAAATGATAAAAGCATATATAACTTGTTTCATCTTTCAACAAACTTCGTCAGAATAAATATTTCTTTTTTGACGGAATCATATATATGTAGGGGAGGGAACGAAAATATAAACAAACGTCGGGTATATTTAAACATCGAGAGAACGGCTGAAAATGGGGAGAAACTTAACTTTAAATTTGAATTTTAAATTTCTGATGTCTGATGTGTCTAGATGTACAGCATAGCCAATCTCATTTGGATCTTTACCACTATAATGGAGTTTGATTAAAAGAAGAAGTAATTTATATAATGTTGAAAATGTATAGAACATGTATTAATTTCTGAATCCTCGACAGTGAATAGGTTGTGCACACGTGACAACAAAAGTATGAGAGCTTTTAATATATAAGCACGCACTCAAGAGGCAGCGAGAAGTATCTAACATATCCTCAAGAGAATATAGAATCCACGTTTGTAGAAAGCTCCCAAATCACACACTCATTGACGAAGATTATTAACGAATTCCGTAATTGAATAAACTGTAATGTTGCATATAAAAGCTTAGGAATCGGGTTTTTATTATTCTCTTTGGGACAATAACATTAGAAACAATCTTCCTTCTTATTTATAACTCATTTTATGGAAAACTTACGGAAATAAAACTGTCGTATTTTATGAATAAATTAAATAAATTCATTTTTGAAATGTTATAAATTGGATCTTTTTATAAGATGCGACTTCTCTGGCACTATTTCTTGTTAAGGACCAAGTTAAGCCTCCCAGTATTATCTTTTACGATAACGGGAGGAGTAAAAGAGACGTAGTATTTTTTCATTGTCCTTTCTTTTAAATCGAAGTTATGATATAAAGTATTGTTTTTGTTTTTTTAAATAAATTATTGTTTTTATGATAATAAAACTGGGAAATCATAATAAGCAGTTATTATCCGGGTTTGGCGAACCGTGCATATTGACACCATAATTTGTCCCAAACGGCAGTAAGTGAAGGCCAAATCGGAAAATATTTTTATTAGAGATGACATGCGCATATAAATACACTCATCCTTGTGTATGACACGATAGATACAAATGGGTGACATTATTCTATTCATTCTAGCCTCGTTCTCGAAACGAAAAAAACAAAAAAAATGGCGCTCGTGAAAACAGCCTCGTGTAATCTAAATGGCTCGGAACTGCGACAAAATGTCCAATCTTTGATGTCATTTGCCAGTTCAGTGGGGCGATAAAAATTACAAAATAATAGTCATTTTAAAATTGACATTTTTTTCTTTCGTGTGATGATCACATCGGTTTCTTTTTGCTTATTTACTATTTTTTTTACTAATTATTCTCTATTTGATTTGTTTCGTATTTTTGTTCTGCTTTAGTACTTTTCTCTTGAATTTGATTGAATAATGAACATCAGTGTCTTTCTTTTCTAACCAATTCTTTAGATGTTGTTTCTTCCTTTACGTCTTTATTCGATGTTTTTGCCATTTTCAGGCATACATATTCTTTTATTCCGTTCATTTCCTTCTTCTTAGCTACTATGTATAGAACCATCATTTTCATTCTTTTTTTTTCTGGTTGATCTCAATTTTTTTTCTTCTTCTTGACCTTTTTATTTCATTCTTACCTTAGCGTCCCTATAATTTTTTTTGTTGCACATCATTCTGTAGATTTTCTTTTTTTCGTTTATTTTGGTATTTTCCGGTATCTTCTTCTATCGGCTTATTGCTTAATCCTATTTTACTTTTTCTTCTTTGTTTTTACCTTAGAATTTTGTGTCTATGTTATTCGTATAATTTTTTCTTTATTGTTTTCCCCTGTTTTTTCTTCTGATTTTTTAATCTTTTTTAATTTGTTTTTCATTTTTTCTTATAATTTCGTTTTTATTTTCTTTCTCTGTTTCTTTTTTTTTTTTTATATATTTTACTCTTTTTAAATTTGAACTTCTTCTTCTCATTTTCTTTTTCTTCTTCTTCTTCTTCTTCTTCTCATTTTCTTCTCATTTTCTTCTTCTTCTTCTTCTCATTTTCTTCTTCTTCTTCTTCTCATTTTCTTCTGCTTCTTCTTCTTCTCATTTTTTCTTCTTCTTCTTTTCTTCTTTTTCTTCTTCTTCTCATTTTCTTCTTTTTTCTTCTTCTTCTTAATATAATTGTTATTCTTTTTATTTTGTTATCAACTACGTATACCCTCCTCCTTCTTTTCCTTCTTCTTCTCTATCTTAATATTATTGTTCTTTAGTGTATTGTTCGTTTTCTAAATATTCCTCCTCCTCCTTCTTCTTCTTCTTCTTCTTCTTCTTCTTCTTCTTCTTCTTCTTCTTCTTCTTCTTCTACGTATTACTACCACTCTTATTCTTTTCCTTCTTTTTAATATTTAAGTAATTACGTATCATCCTGCTCCTCCTGCTTTCTTCTTCTTCTTCTTCTTCTTCTTCTTCTTCTTCTTCTTCTTCTTCTTCTTCTGTCTTAATATCATTCTTTTTCTCATTTTTGTTCTTTTTCTAAATACTTTTCTTCTTCTGTTTCTTCTTCTTTTTATTTTTCTTCTCATTTTTTTCTTTTCTTTTTTCTTCTTCCATATTTTAATATCATTTTTTCTTTTTTTGTTTTTTTTTTGAAATTATTATTATTATTATTATTATTATTATTATTCCCAAGCCTCTTTATATTTAGTTTCTCTGATTGATTTCAATTCCACCTAAATTATCAACAATTTTCTTTCAATCTTATTCAAATCCATTCTCAATACTCCCCTCACAGTTTTTCTTTATTATTTCAAATATTTTATTTTATTTTTATTGAATACCTTATTATCTACCATCTTCTTCTCAATATTACCAACTTAATCACTTTCCACGTTGTTCTCATTCATTTTTTCTTCTCAAGTCTCGTTTATTTACGAGATTATCAGACTATCTCTAGTATTTCAAACTTTGGAAAAACCAGCACTTAAACAAAATCTCCAAGAAAAGAATTAAAAAAACAAGTTATTTCTCATCACTTGGTTGATTTTATGTCAGACAAATTCGAACATTTAACTGCAATTGAAAATAGCAGGAAAACTTATTCGTTTATTTCTCTCCAGAGCGAACAAAAAAATGATCTAACATCTTAACCGGAAAGGAAGAACGAAACAGATACATGAATAAATGAGTAAAGAAACGTTAAAATAAAATCATAATAAAAAAAGAAAATCAAAACTGGCCGCTGTTCTAAACAACCGGTTCTCAAATTCTAGCCAAAATGTTCAATCGCCTTTCCCGCCTTCGCCATTACCACTTTTCGCAAAACAAAATGTCGGCCATCAATTTAAATATTCATTTCTTCTACCGGCTGAATATTTCCCCATGTTAAGAGAAACAAGTGGAAATTATGACAAAGTGATCACAGTTTTCTCTCTGAAATAGTTGCCATAAGACACGGAGAAGGGCAAAGAAAAAATAAGGCGAAGAAATAGCAATGGGAGAGAAAAAAAGAGACGAAAAATTTACAGGAAGCGAAGAAAGAAATAAGATATAGAAAAAAAAAGAATGATAAAAAAAAGAAACAAAAACAGAGAGGGAATCTAAATAGATATATGAAGTGAGAGAGAGTGCGAGAGAGAAGTGAAGAGATAAACAAAGAGAAAGAGACTTTAATTAGAGTGGGGAAAGAAAGAGAAAAAGGTGTGAGAAAATAGGGAGGAATAGCGTCAAAAGATGAAGAGATAGATAGATAGATAGATAGATAGATAGATAGATAGATAGATAGAGAGAGAGAGAGAGAGAGAGAGAGACTGAAAGAGAGAGGATTGTGGCACAAAGAGAGTATCACGGAGAGAGAGAGAGAGTGTGCGTGATTTAAAGTGAGAACAAAGAAATAAGGAAGGAAAACAAAAGGAAAGAATAAAGAGAATCTAAATAGATATATGAAGTGGGGGAGAGGGGAGAAAGAGAGAGAGAGAGGGGAATAGTTAAACAAAAGAGAAAGAGACGTTGAACAGAATAGAGAAATAAAGAGAAAGAAGGAAAGTGTAAGAAAATAGAGCGTAATAGCGTGAAAAGAGATGAAAAGAGAGAGAGAGAAATAGAGAGAAATGAAGCACAAAGTGAGAATGGGGAGACAAAAGATGGCGAGAGGTAGAGTGATTGAAAGTGGGAAGCAAGGAAAAAAGAAGAAAAAGGAAGAAATAAAGTGGGGTAGAAAGAGAAAATATGGAAACAAAGACAGCGAAGATAGAAAAAGAAAATGAAAGAAAAGAGAAGAAAATAGAAAAAGGAAATGAAAGAAAAAAGAAAAAGAAAATAGAAAAAGGAAATGAAAGAAAAAAGAGAAGAAAATAGAAAAAGGAAATGAAAGAAAAAAGAAAAAGAAAAGGAAATGAAAAGATAAAGTGAGTGAAAGAGGAGTAGAGTAAGAAAAGAGAAGAAAGACAGAAAAACAAAACAAAATAGGAAAAGAGAGGGAAATAGATACAAGAATAAAGAGAGAGTGAAATGTGATTATTTGGGGTAGAGAGAGAGAAAGAGAGAGAGAGAGAGTGAGAGAGAGGGAGAGAGTGAGAGAGAGGGAGAGAGAGAGACTAAAAGAAAGAGAAAGTGAGACAAAAAGAGAGCGGGAAACAGAAAGAGATAGAGAGAATACTTTGGAAATTTTGCGTTCTATTTGGGGAATTACTTATAGCAAAAGCCTGAAGTTTTCAGACGAAGGGTTGAAATTTGTATTTACTCCTCTCCCCCACAAGGTCAAGTTGTGACACAAGGTCAGTTTAATGTGGGGAGCCCGAGCCCGTACACCCGGGCTAGGAACAAAAATTGCCCACAGACGAAGGGCTGTAATTATTACAAAATGTGTTTTCAATTGGCATCTGTTCGAAAACAAAAATTCAAGGCAGCATCAGTGAAGACTGAAATTTTACTACACTAGCTGTCTTTTTCTGTTTCCCAGAGCCTGTAGAGGTATCGCATATTTTCACATAATATCTACAATACATAGAAGTACATACTACGCATTTGAATGGGGCAGGCAAAAAATTATCATCTAGTGCAGGGGTGGCCAACTTTTTGATTCCATGCGCCAATATTTTGTATGATTAATTTAAATGCGCCACACAAAAATTCACTTCCTTTTAGTACGTGTTGTAATATGGACATATTTTAAAGTTATAATAAAATCTATTTATTTGAAAAATATATCCTTATGACCAGGGGCGTATCCAGGAGTTTTGAAAGGGGGGGTGCATCAATAAATGCTTTGACTTTTTTTTAGCTTTTCATCAAAAGGATACAATGCGCCATTTGTAAGCATCCAATGCGCAACTTATGGCGCATGCGCAACAGGTTGGCCATCCTTGATCTAGTGCAATTATTTATAAATATACTCATATTTATAATTATTTATAATTATAGCTCATTAACAAAGTGAGAAAATCAAGTTACGCTATATGTAGTACAACTTAATAAATTAAAGAGCATGCCAGTATATAATGCCATATATTGACAGCCAGCCTTGGCACGCAATTTATCTGATGTAAAATCTACGACCCTAGGTCAGCGCTGTCACCGTCCCAGCTCGCTAGGCCATGACAGATGAACAACGGGTGTAAAGGGTGGGGCAGCACACACTGCAAAAATCCCACGACGCAGGCTCAAGAGACAGGTCCAACCTGAAGGAGAAACGCCGCGAGAGGAAAGACCGGGAAGCTTCAGCGGCTGTAGTAGACCAGGCGATTTAGTTGCAGTCGCTGCAGCCGGACTTGTCTGTCCCGCATCAGCTTAGTCAGTCATCAGCGTGCCTGCAGTCGACATGGAAATTCCACTTTATAAATCTTCGTTCGCGAAGACAAGCCAAGAAAAAAAAAAGATTTTTATTTTAACTTTCTTCAGAAAATTTTATTAATTAAAATACTTTTAAGTTAAAGACAGACACAAAGAGATCCCGATTTGCTGTTTCGTCCAGTTGTTTGTAGAGTAATTCTTTATATTTCAGCTTTCTTTAAACAAACAATATTTTAAATATTTAAAACATATTTTTAAATTCATCTTTTTAAAAAATATTTCAAGTGAATAAGATTTAAAAATACGAGTTGTTTATACAGTGACAGAAGGGCACTAAGGAAGCGTTATAAGGACTCCCTGAAGAAGTCCCTCGGCACCTGCTACATTGACCATCGCCAGTGGTCGACACTTGCTTCTGACGGTCAAGTCTGGCGCCGCACTGTCCACCTGGCCGTCTCAACCTTTGAGGACTCTCGCAGGGCCATCCTGAAGGAGAAACGCCACAGGAGGAAGGACCGGGAAGCCTCAGTAGCTAAACTAGACCAGACCTTTAAACTGCAGTCTCTGCGGCCCGATTTGTCTGTGCCGTAACAGCCTGGTAAGCCATCAGTCTTCCTGCAGCCGGCGTGGACAGCCCACTTCATAAATCTTCTTTCGCGAAGCCAAACCAATTAGAAGAAAAAATTGACAGCCACCTGAGAATTACGAATTCTGTCGCAAGAACTCGTCATTCAGTTCCAAGACGTTAACTAAACTTTAGAAATCTTAATATCTTATCAGCCGCCTGAGTATAAAGAATTTCCTTGCGAGATATCGTCACTCAGTTCGAAGTGTTTAAATGTAGGCATTTCGCCTGGTATTGAACTCACAGCTCTTTGTATCTAGTCACTGGATCTAACCAACAACTTGATCCACTGGGACATGTCTCATTCAATACCAGACTACATCAGTGATGAACCAAAACTTGAGTTTAGTTAAAGGGGAATAACTAAGACATCTGGAAGAGGCGTGGCATGTGGAACTAGAACAATCTACCCCGACAGACGTAATAAAGAGTTCAGTTTGAAATTCAATTCACCTGAAGAAGGCCGAAGCGTACAACGGTCGTAGCTTTGTGAATATGACATTGACGATGAGGATAACATTCCGAATAATGTAAATAATGTAAGCTTTAAATAATCTTCCTTATTTACCATTTATAATTGTCTCCATTTTTACTTTTCTTCCCTAGTACAAAACTTTAAATATCTTGGAAATGTTTTAATAGAAAACGGAAAAGGCGCATTGAAATAACGAAAGACGCCTTCCAAAAGCTAAGCAGTATTAAGAAACAGGAACAATTCGTTAGAAACAAAGAAACGATTACTGAACTGCTATGCAATAGCAGTATTCTTATATGGCAGTGAATGCTGGACAATCTAATCACAGATAAAGAAGAAACTTGAGGCTACAGAAGGATACTGAGAATCCAAGGGACTGAACATGTGAGCAATGGCGATGTTTTAGAAAAAATGAAAACAAAAAGAACGCTTATACTTAGAGTCAGAAAGAAATGGTTGACATTTCTAAGGCACATGAGGAAAGAGGGCTTAGTAAATTTGCCACTCACATGAGCAGTTGAAGTCAAGAGGAAAAGTGGAAAATAGCGCATAATCTACTCAACGAACTTTTTCAGATGAATGGCAGAAAAGGGTTTAGGGGAGATAACATTTATTAAGACCTACAAAGGACAGGAAGTTGTGGAGAGCCATGATCATCCACGTTGTGAAGGGACACATCAGAAGAAGAAGAAGAAGAAGAAGAAGAAGGAGAATATATTTATTAATATTACGAAGACATCTTTGGTATCTCGTCTGTAGTCGCTCTCTCACAGACGTGCCGTCGCCTCCCTCTGTCTTTTCCAAATACTTTCATGGTAACTGCTCCGACGCGCTGCTTTCGCTGGTTCCCAGACTTCATGAATTTAAGCATTCTACAAGGCTGGCATCTCGCTCACACCCTTTCACTGTCGAAGCTGTTAAATGTAGCCGTCTTTTCTACTCCAATAGCTTCATGCCTCACACCTCTCCCCCTTGGAACTCCCTCCCCTCTTTCTGTTTCCCTGATAGCTATAATCTCCAACTATTCAAATGTAATGTCAATCGATGTCTCCAGATGCCCTGATCTATCCCCTATCCTTCTCTTCATCCTTTCCTCTATCACTCCTATTTGCTCTAGCTCCAACTCTCTGTAACCCCTATATAAAAAGAAAAAAAAAAGACAGAATGAATAGTGTTAGCAAAAGAGACAGCCCAAAATGTGTGTTACATATTGGGGATGGCAAATACCTAACAGGTACACAAATTTATCTATGTAGTGTAGCGACAACGGAAGATATGACACATACATCTGGAATTGCATAGAAATAGTGAAAAATGTCTTCAGGAAACTAAGACAAGTATGAGAAAGTAAGAAAATATAAGAAACTAAGATGAAAGAAAATACTTTTTAATTGCTATGCAATATCCTAATCTCCTATGTGTAAGTGAATGCTGGACAAATTTCTACGCGGATGAGGAAGAGAGTGGAAGAGAGATGTGATTTGATTTATTTTTCTACGGTTTATCAACCCTTTATAGGTTATTTAAAGGCGGAAGCACACAGTCAGTTCAGACTGCAATAGAACTAAAAAATAAACTATATGCAGTCGAATGGATTCGAAACAATCGCTGGCTGTAAGTCCAATATTAGAATATCCGGCTACTACTTTTCTCCATTAGAATTGCTCTTGGCTTTAAAATTCTTTCACAAAGATACAGGGATATATTCTAAATTCGTTCGTTTTTTTTTTCATTCAGGCGCTTGTCCGCTTCTTCAACTTACAGCTAGAATCGTTCGTTTTTCTATTAAAATGATTTCCGTTTTCTTTTCTGATTTTGAAAATGTTAAGAAAAGCGTGAAATAAACGGAAATATTTACAATTGCTTTGCAAATTACAGGTTTCTTGTCTGACCATTGGGTGTGGGACATCGAATAATATTAGTTGGCCAACAAAAATCAGTGAAATAGAAGAAGAGGGGTATTATTATTATTATTATTATTATGAGTTGTTGTTGCTTTAATAGTAGTAGTAATAGTTGTGGTGGTGGTAGTATATCAATAATGTTTATTTTATGAGTCGATGTGAAAAAGAAACGCAGAAGAACGAGAAAAATATTAAAACGGGGAAACACAGTGAACAGAGAAAATGCTTTCGAAGTGGAGATTGAAAGGGAAGAAAAGGAAAAGGGATGATGTAGAGGACAAAAAGAGAAGAAAGAAAGAAAAAAAGAAAGAAAGAGAGGTCTCAAAAAAGAAATTGGAGAAAACTTGGTGAGAAGGGAAATAAGAGGAAGTGAGGCTAGGTTGAAAATAGAAAGGGAAGGACTGAAAACAGAAGCAAAGAAAAAAGGAGGAAAGAATAAAAAGAAAGGAAAAAAGAGAAAAACAATAAAAAAAAAACAGAGCAAAGAAAAATGGGGGGAGAAAATGAAGGAAAGTGGGAAGAGACAGTGAGGGAGCGAGAGAGAGATAAAATAAAATGATGAAAGAAAAGAAAGATTGCGTCAGAAAAGTGAGGATGAAGAAAAAAGCAAGCGAATGAGTGTGAAAAGCATGGGAGAGAGAATGAAAAAATGAAGATAAGAGAGAGAAAGAGAAAGAGAAAGAAAAAGAAAAAAAGAAAACGATAAAAACTGTGGAGAAAGAAAGTAAGCGATAGTGAAGCGGGGTTGAAAATTAGGCGAGAAAGACTGAAAAGGAAAGCAAAAAAAAAAAATAATGAAATAAGGGGAAAAGAAAGAGAGAAGAAACGGAAAGAGTGTGTAAGAGAGAGAGAGAGAGAGAGAGAGAGAGAGAAAGAGAGAGTGAGAGAGAATTATGAAAAGAGAGAAAATGAAAGGTAATGAGTGAAAAGCAAGGGAGAGAAAAATTGATGCAACACAGGGACAAAATACCGTGTATGCGCGCGCGCGCGTGTGTGTGTGTGTGTGTGTGAGAGAGAGAGAGAGAAAGAATTATGAAAAGAGCGAAAATGAAAGGTAATGTGTAAATATCAAGGGAGGGGAAAATGAAAGCAGCATTGAGAGAGAAAGCGAAAGACAGAGAGAGAGAGAGAGAGAGAGAGAGAGAGAGAGAGAGAGAAAAGTAGATACATAGATGAACAGAATGAGATAGATAGATAGATAGATACATGAACAGATAGATAGATAGATAGATAGATAGATGAACAGATTGAGATAGATAGATAGATAGATGAACAGAATGAGATAGATAGCTAGCTAGCTAGCTAGCTAGATAGATAGATAGATTGAACGAGAAACAGACTAAATCTAGATATGGGCAAATAAATATTTGTTTCCAGCTCCAAGAATTATTCTCCTCATGAAATAAATCTGATGTTGTCTATTGGAGAAGGCAAAACGCATATTTATTAAGGAAAACACGCACGAATGCATGCACGAAGACCTGCACGCACGATATATATATATATATATATATATATATATATATATATATATATATATATATATATATATATACTGAACTCTTCTGTCGCTTTCGACGTATGAGTGGCCCGCAGCTCTGTTCTTAGAACCGTACAGCTATTACTACCTATACGTAGGATTTGATTATATTGGGGAACACTTGTGCAGAACTAACCATACTTTTCGAAAGAAATGAATGAAGAGTACTGGTACACATACTGTGGCACTAGACCCCCAAACGGCCCTCCTTAGGTTTGGAATTCAGAGTTTCCCTTCTCCTAGACTTGTTGCAAACAAACTTATTGGAGCTGTAGTGATAGATAATAAATAAATATAAATAAAAAGATAATAACAACGTGACCAAAATGTCACCGTCTCTAAAAATAGACGTATATTCAGTATCGCTAGACCTGAAAGTCATATTTCGTCCAACCTATTCGACCAGGATACAAACATCCTGGTCAAGCGAGTGAATCAGAAATAAGAACTGCTACAAACCAGGATATCAGGTCACTAATCATGAACCAATGAGAATCAAAGCGGCATTTCTTAGAAGATTTCTAGATATGTATATAACGAGATGAAAAATCAACAAAAACCAGAAGCAAATTAATTTTGTCCATTCTTTGAACCTGCGGTCATCGTAACATACCCAGAGCCTGAATAGAACCTTTGTGGAACTAAGGAATAGAGTTGAACAGTGAATGGTTATGCTGAACATTCGATGTCGACTTTATACGGGTACAACATGAAGCTATATTTTAAAACACATATCTTTTGTTTCATTACATTTTATACAACATTGGACATCCTATACACATTCCGTCACTCCTATCATTAAGCAGGCGGCTACTACTTTTGGATACGTTCGCATATATGCAAGTTTCGTTAAAGTCAGCTGGCTTTAACATTCAGTTAAAAATAAAAATTGCCCTCCATAATGACTAAAAGAATAGCCGAAAGCGCTCGGATATGCAGAATTTGTTTTTTCACAGTTTTTACACACTTTGTTTCCAGAAAAGAAAACACAAGAAAAATGAAATAAAACAAGAAAAATTAAATAAAAAGTTTAATCGCAGTACCTTGTCAGTCGTCTTTAACGAAACATGTATAAAAGAGGGATTGCTACCTAAATACAAAATACACATATATACATACATATTTACTTTCTTCCATACTCTCTCTCTCTCATACAGTGTCTTTACACTTGAATTCTTGAAAATTAAATTTCACCTTACCCTTCCGTATTATATTTGGTATGTAGAGATTACTTTTGTATTTAACAATATTCTGTGCTTTTTCTTTTAATCATTACATAAGGCCAATATATACACAAATTAAGTATGCCAATATATAGTGGGGAACGGATTTTGTCATAAGATAAACAACACTCGCTGCCACGTATGTTGGGGCATTTATTATGACATGGCAATAAATCCGGATAACCTTATTTTCTTCAATTTCTTTTTAGAATAGACAATGAGACTTATACTAAGTTAAAACTTAAAACTTAATGTTGCGAAAGGCTAAATGCAAGTGTCAGCCAGGACTCTTTGCAAATGCCCTCCCCCTCTCATTGTTACCTCTGTTTTTGTTGTTGTATGTGTTATATGTAATAGGAGTAGGTAGGCTTTCCTACCGCCCGGTCAACACTCCTCCCCCTTCTCTTGGACATGAGTAGAGGCTTACGCCTTGTTTCTTGTTTAGGAAGGGGTTTCCGGTACTCTCTCTCTCTCTCTCTCTCTCACTGGCCTCTGTATCTCCAGTTGCGTTGATCTATCCACTACCCTCCTCCTCATCCTTTCTTCTATCTGATCTTGCTCCAAATTTTCTGTAACCCCTTGCGTCCTTGTGGCTTTCCGCCTTGCTTGGGATGAAACGCTTAAAAAAAAAAAAACAAAAAAAAAAACAAAAAAAAAAACTAATCCATAACTGATAACCTAATATAAATTTATATATCATTACACAAAAAAATTGCCTTTTTTTTTAATATTCTTTTTCGTTTACCATTTTTTTTATCGAGTATAATTATTAATTAAAAAATAGCAAGTTAAATATTTTTAATAAAACTATAGAATTTTAGAATTAAATAAACCTTAAGAGTCCAAGATATTGATTTGATATCGGTGTGTGACTTATGATGTTTCCTTAAGCCCCTTCTAAAAACCTATTATACATTACAAATGACGATTGTGTCACTTAGAATTGTCACTGACCCTTCCTACATATTTACTGTGTTTTGTGTAGTTTGGTACAAAGTTACCAATCTAAGATGCCCAGTGAAGATCTAATTCATTGCTGTAGATTTACTAATAAAAAAATGGCTCAATTGTGACTAACCCAGTACGCCTGACAAATTATCTTTCCACATTTAAAAAGAAGGCATTAAAAGACTTCTACACAGTCCTGCAACATTTGAAAAATATGCATACCTTCCTTCACCCACATCGTTAAGAAAGCGGCTACTACATATGACTACATAGATACGTACCTATATATAATCGACTCTCCTGTCGAGATTCGACGTATGAGGGTCAAGCAGATCAGTTTCCAGGAAACCGACAGCCCGACACCGGCACATGAGATTTGATTATAGTGGTGAAGGCCTCGTGCAGGACCATCCACACTTTTTGAAGGGACGAATACAGAGACCTGGTGCACCGAATGCCACAAGGTTCCCAAACGGCCCTCCGCAGGTTTTGAATTCAGAGTTGTCCTTCTCCTAGACCAGTTGCCATCCAAGGCTATAGAAACCAGTCTGTCCTGCTATTTTACCCATAGCTGGAGGGAGAGGAAAAGAATTCATACCTTTCCCAAGGGTATTAGCACGTAAGTGAATGTAATGGATTCGACTGGAATTCGAACTCGGATCTATCTATCTATCTATCTATCTATCTATCTATCTATCTATCTATCTATCTATATATGTGTGTGTGTTTGTGTGTGTGTGTGTAGGCTTGGCTTTGTTTGTTTTACGGTATATCAACCTCAATGAGTTATTTAATGCCGATAAAATTTTCATTGTTGGTAATATTTTTTTCAAAAAATCTATTTCTGGTAATATTTTTTCCTTTTTTTCCAATCTATTTCTGGCAAAAATTTTCCTTCGCTGGTGATATTTAAAAAAAAAAAAATATTGCTGGTAATATTTACCTTTCAAAAATGTATGGCTGGTAATAATATTTTTTTACAAAGTATTTCTAGTATTAAAACCTATTTTTACACTTTCATAGTGTTTTGACCCGAGTTTGGGGGTGGGGGTGTGAACTATTTGCCCAGGGCTGGGACCCTAACAGGTGCTACAACCCCGAGTCAGGGTGAACCTTGGAACATCAGCAATTAAGAGGTGGTTCCACGCTCCTCAAAAAGCTCCCGATCAGAGGCCTTGCTGTTGAACGTAGTTTATCGTCTTACTCAGGACGCGGATGTAGTTTATCGTCATACCCAGGAATATATATATATATATATATATATATATATATATATATATATATATATATATATATATATATATATATATATGCACGTTTCATTAAATAATATAGACAAGTGTTGTCTATTTATTTTTTCGTAACGTCTGATAAGTTTAAAGAAATTCACAATATTGATACATATTTTTTTAATCCTGTCTAAGCTTTCGGCTTACATAACCCATTATCAAAGATGTCAATTACAACATATTAAGCAATATACGGACAAGACAGTAATGATAGTCTGTAATTGTTTACATAGATGATTTCTAAGCAACGATAAACACGCGCATATAAGATGCTAGAATCGCACCTCATCTCATGACGTCACACATGACCACACGAGAGCTGTGCCTTTTCTATAAATACTGTCTTGGTAGGTGTTCTGGTTCGCTATGATACATAGACTTTATAAATTTAATCGTAGTTCTAGATAAGCAGCAATATCTCATCAATTTAAAGTTGAATTGGCAAAATGAAACTGTAAGTTCTATACTAACAAGTTCTACATACATACATACATACATATATAAACGTATATACCTTCCTTTACCCACATTTTTAAGTAGGTGGCTACTACATTTTGATACATATATACACGCACACACACACACACACACACACACACACACACACACACACACACACACACACACACACACACATGTGACGAATTCCATGGAATTTGAACTCGGCTCTGCAATTTCACATTCAGCATTCATTACACGACCGCACATTCACACACACAGACGTACACACACGCGCAGACACGCACACATACAGACACTCATATAATTATTTATTTATATATATATATATATATATATATGTGTGTGTGTGTGTGTGTGTGTGTGTGTGTATGTATGCACAGACACACATGTTATGAGTAATCAGATTCGCCTATCGCCCGTTTATCCTGCTTTCCCCTCATTTGAATAGGAGCAATGTTTTATTCCTTGTTTCCTGTATATATATATATATATATATATATATATATATATATATATATATGTGTGTGTGTGTATTTGTGTGTGTGTGTTTTTATTCTTTTTTTCCTATATATATATATATATATATATATATATATATATATATATCAAATTATTATCGAGATAACTTTTTTCTAATATTTCAAAAACTGTCCAATCAATTCACACAAAATTTTCACACAATGTTGGCAACACTAACTTGCGCAATCCCTGAAATTTTCGTACTGATCTGCGCAATGGAAACAAACTGGCGCCATATTTGTTATCAGTACGGTGATTTGAGCGTGCCAAATTATTAGAAAGATTTAGTAAAATTCCCAAAATTGAGCAAACAAAACGTTTATTAATGTTGCACGTGAAAGTTTATGATTAAAAGAAGCTAATAAACGAGATAATCAAACAAATAATAACAGATACAAACAAAGTTACAGTTTTAAACAAATTAATAGAGAATGTGCTTTCCCTGTTTTGAAATTACTTGAAGAAGTCGACGATCCATAGAATTTGTTAATTGTAGGATGTCATCTGCTGTAATGCCGTGAGATATGTCAAGAATTGCTTTCCACAACTCAATGTTGCTTCTGAATTGTCATCCGTGAATTGTCATTGTAAAATAAAATTTGGATAACTTTTCTCTAGCTCTCTGTTATATAGGAATAAAGTGTCGCTGCCGACACTTGAGTTTGAACATAGATCGCCAGTGAGCAAACACAGGCGATCCCATTACTTAATTAAGTAGGCCACGTGACATAGAGGAGACGCATAAGTAGGAGGTAGCGTGTGTCTAATTGATCGTTATTTCTATTCTATCCTCTAATACTATTCAGATCACATTTCTACTCTATCCTCTATTACTATACGGACCGCTATTCTCGACTCTATTCACTATACTATTTCTTTATTCGGTTTACTGGTCGGATTACTATTCGAGCGAGTATTATCGAGCAAGTACTATTAGTGCGTGTGTTATTCGAAGGCGTCTGACACCAGTATTGTTCAACGGTGTTAGTATAGTTGTATCGGCGATTACAAAGTCTCTACTACAACGAGCATTACAAAAGTGACAATGGGTGTTCGTTGAGTAACAAAACTATCAAACAACCAAAGTTTATTGATAACTTCTTCACGGTCAAACAACCCATCGTGGGTTACTTGAAGCCAAAACAGATTTTGGATTGTAGGAAGTTGCTTACAGTACCTGATGATCACAGCTTGTGCCCCATTTAACTATTGACCGGGCCCTTCGGTGAGTTTGAAATAAA